GAAGGTGCTTCTCCCTAGCCCCCAAGTAATTTCAGGGAATCCATAAGAAAGGCTTAAATGTTCCAAAAATCAGTCCTAGTTGTCATTTGCCATCTCTGCCAGCTATTCTTTCTCCAAACTGCTATGCTCTCGTGTTCAACAGGTCACCACTTGCTGTCTTTATATTTTTAAAAACTTTTTATTATATTATTAAAAAAAACTTTATATTTTAGTACATACAAAAGAGTATGTGTGATGTAATTTATGGAGCATTATAATAAAACAAACATCCATGAATCCATCATCAGCTTAAGAACTAGAACATTACCACCAAAGCTTTTGAATCTACCTAAATTCTACCCCTTTGCTTGCCCAAGAGCAATCCCCTATCCTGGATTTTGTGTTTATTATTTCCCTTCTATATTTTAATAGTTTTACCACATTACATATCCATAAGTTTTCCTTTTTTTTTTTGGTGAGGAATATTGGCCCTGAGCTAAGATCTGTTGCCAATCTTCCTCTTTTTGCTTGAGGAAGATTGTCCCTGAGCTAACATCTGTGCCAGTCTTCCTCTATTTTGTATATGAGACACTGCCACAGCATGGCTTGATGAGCAATGTGTAAGTCAGCGCCCAGGATCTGAACCCGCGAACCCCAGGCTGCTGATGCGGAGCACATGAACTTAACCACTATGCCACCGGGCCGGCTCCAAGTTTTCCTTATTTTTGAGTTTTACATAAAAATTATCAAATAGTATGTATTCTCCTGTGATTTGCATTTCTCATGTAATATTATTTCTGCAATTCATGCACGTAAGCTGTAATTCATTTTTCTTTTTTTTTTTTTTTTTTTTGTGAGGAGGACCAGCCCTGAGCTAACATCCAATACCAATCCTCCTCTTTTTTGCTGAGGAAGACTGGCCCTGGGCTAACATCCATGCCCATCTTCCTCTACTTTATATGGGACGCCGCCACAGCATGGCTTAACAAGCGGTGCGTCGGTGCGCACCCGGGATCCGAACCGGCGAACCCCGGGCCGCCGCAGCGGAACGTGCGCACTTAACCGCTTGCGCCACCGGGCCGGCCCCTGTAATTCATTTTTCAATGCTGTGTAGTATTTCGTCGTGTGAATATACCACAATTTATTTAGCTGCTCTATTGAAGAATATTCTTTTGCCATTCTTGGAAGTCTACTGTATCAAAGGTGATGAAGACTAGGAAGAGAAAATCTATAACATGTTTTGAATCACTTCCTCCACTGTGCTACCACTTAACATTCTCCATATCTCTATTTTTATTTATTTTCTTTCTTTCTTTCTTTTATTTTTGTGAGGAAGATCAGCCCTGAGCTAACATCCATGCCAATCTTCCTCTTTTTGCTAAGGAAGACTGGCCCTTAGCTAACATCCATTGCTAATCCTCCTTTCCCCTCCCCCCTTTTTTCTCCCCAAAGCCCCAGTAGATGGTTGTATGTCATAGTTGCACATCCTTCTAGTTGCTGTATGTGGGATGCCGCCTCAGCATGGCCGGACAAGCAGTGCATCGGTGCACGCCCGCCAGCATCGGAGCACATGCACTTAACCACTAAGCCACGGGGCCGGCCCCTATATCTCTATTTTTAGCACTTAGTGTATTCAAGGGCAAGGATTAGCAATTTTTTTCCTGTAAAGGACTAGATAGGAAATATTTTAGGCTGTGTGGGCCATATGGTCTGAGGCAACTACTGAACTCTGTTGTTTTAGCACAAAAGCAGCCACAGAAAGTATGTAGATGAATGAGTATGGCAGTGTTCCAATAAAACTTTCTTTATAAAAACAGACAGCTGGCTGGGTTTGGTCCACTGGCTGTCATTTCCCAAACCCTGCTGTAGTTCATCTGAATTCCTGTAGCATTGTCCAGTATTGTGGTCATACATCCATCTATATTATCTCATTTCTTTCTTATTATCTTATTTCCCACTCCTCACCCCCCCAGACCCTCTTTGATTCAGAGTTCCTATATCTAAGGATGAGCCCAACCTATAAGTCCAATTCCTGAACCAGCGTGGCTCAAAGCAAGACTTACCATCAGTATTACCAGCATCAATTATTATCAGCCCCAGCTCCAACAGCAAGTAGGGTATAGGAGTAAGGCCTGGTGCTGAGGGGCCTAGGAATTGCTGCACCAGATTTGAGACTGGGATGCTGCCTTGATTTCCCTCCTTAGCACTCCAGGGTTTCTGGTTAGGACTGAAACTATTCCCTGAGAACTAGCCTCCTTGCAATTTCCTGAATATGCCTTATTTTCTCTCACCTTCAGGATTTTGTGCCCCCTGCTCCCTCCCACTCCTCTTGCCTGCAATTCCCACTTACCCTCAGGGATTTATTTTATTTTTTTGTTTTTGTGAGGAAGATCAGCCCTGAGCTAACATCCATGCCAATCCTCCTCATTTTTGCTGAGGAAGATTGGCTCTGGGCTAACATCTGTGCCCATCTTCCTCTACTTTATATGGGACGCTGCCACAGCATGGCCTGACAAGCAGTGCATCGGTGCGCGCCCGGGATCCAAACCCAGGCCACCAGCAGGGGAGCGCGAGCACTTAACCGCTATGCCACGGGGCCAGCCCACCTCCAGGGATTTAAATCGAATTACTTTCTCTGGAAGCTATTCTTAACTCACCACCCTCACCCTTTCTCCAACCCACCCCACTGGACCCTGCCTTTCTAGGCTTTGCAGGTGTCTGTCCTCTGCGTTCCAATAGCAGCCTTTATCTCTCTGTCCTATAATTGTCGGCCTCACCCACTAGGCCAATTGAGAACTGTTTGAGGGCAAGGGTTGTCTTTGTACACTCAGTGACTGGATCATAACGGGTCCTCTGGCAATGTTTGTTCAGTGTTTGCCTGGATTTGGCTAGGAGAAGGACCTGGTTTCTACTTCTGGTGAAGATCAGCCTGGCTGAGGGTCCAGCCAGGGAATGGACTAATTCTCTAGAACCAAACTGCCACTTGGATGTGCACTGCTTGCTGCTGTGTCCTGCCTGCCCGATGATCGCTTGAACTGAATCCAAGCTTGGTCTCCTTTTGGGCCCTGTGATTTGGCTCATCTCAATATTTTATTATTCCTCATTTTTTTCTCCTGGTGAGTGGGGCTCTGAACGTTTTTTCCTAACTTGTCTATTACTTGAGAATTTTATAGCATATCTCCTTACTAAACTGTAAACTATGGGAAGTACTATATTTGGAGTTAGAGAAAAAGTAGGTTTGGTTTAAGTCTGTGTGCTTTGTGACTTTGGCAAGTCATTTTAACCTCCTTGCCTGAGCCTGTTTCTCATCTGTAAAATGGGGATTCACCTGACCTATCTCACAGTCTGGTTATGAGGATAAAATAAGATTGCGTGTGAAAGTGCTTTGAGAAACTGTAAAATCAACTGCAAATGGAATTTTGTATTAGTTCTGTATTCCCTTATGACATCTAGCACCGTGCCTTGCCCAGAGTAGTTGCTCAATACATTTTTGTTGAATGACCAAATGAATTGGCAAGAGAAATAATGCTATTGGTGGGAATAAAGGACATTTAATAGAATCAGGAAAAACAGATCACTTGGCAATAGAAACATCCATATGGTGAGTGATAATTCAGAAGTTGGGCATTTATGGATGGCTCCAAATCTACATTCCCAATGTCTGCTCTCTGTTTTGCTTATAAAAAATATTTAAAATTCCTTTTAACGTGATTTTGGCAGTAGGGATAAGCTGTCAAACTTGACTAGATCTTAAATACGTAGTCATCGCAAAGCAGGATTGGCCCCAGGCAATATTGTGAGGTCAACAAAATGTACTTTCTTCCTTTCCATTGCAATACCTACTCCTAGTTCTGTTTACCTCCAGGCACTTAGGACTTTTGTATTATCCTTTGTTCCCAGGAAGCATTCACCTTAAAGGGTCAGGAACTAAGTCTCTCTGGCTAATTTTCATGTGAAAAAAAGGATTCCTAGAGAAGGAGGCTATTTTATCGAAGGGAATGAATAAATTGTGAAATTTCAGGCATTAAAGGGAGTACAAAGGCTTATCAGCCCCATTCAAATCACAGAGGTACTTACTTCACTACAGCTGTGGTCTCAACCCTGGAGGTATGTAGAATCACCCTGTGAGATTCTTAAAAATGCTGATAATTGAGGCCTTACTCCAGAGATCTAATTCAGCTGGACGAGGTTCAGACCTGGGCAAAGAGGTTTTTTAAAAAAACTCCCCAGGCAATTCTGTCATACAGTCTGTTGTACAGTCAGAGTTGGGAACTGCTGATTTAAACCTAAGTTGGCCCTACTCTTGAGAAAAAGAAAAGCTGAATGCCATTGGAAGATCAAACCTTAAAGCAGGGTGGGGGTGGAGGGACTGTGGGGGTCATTGATAGAGTGAACAGAAGGTTAAAAATAGGCCCAGCAACTCCATAATAAGCAGGTGCTTGGCAGTACCAAAGGAAGAAGTAACCTGTGGCTGATCCGGTCCCCCATTCCCAAACCCCCAGGGGAAATGGCCTGGCCCTAACTGTTAAGGCCTTAAATCTGCTTTCTAGATGGTTCACTGGTATGACAGTAGATAAAAATCTCTGAGCTAAGGTGCTAAGTCCTCAAATGGCTGATGTACCTGAGTCAGTAAGTCTCCAGTTGATGAGATAATTTTACATAGAAGATAAACGATTTTGTTAAAAATATGAGATCTGTGTTATTTATTTACATTTTACTGAGCACCATAGGTTCAGCATTTGTTATTAAGTTCCTTTTGCTTTATAAAGCAACTCCAGGATGGGCAAAGGGTGAATTCACATAGTGTAGTGGGGTCATGTTTGCTTAAGTTTGGCCTCCCCAGTCCCCCATAGCTGCCCCCTGCTGTTGCTCGCATCACAAAGCCCTTATTATGATATAATGGTTAATATCTCACCACCACTTGGTTTGCCCTCTCAGTGTTGCCCTGCTTCAAAGATGGTCCTTCAGAAGAGTGGATAGAGAACCATGGACCACCATTTGCTCAGCAGTTGTCTTTTCTGGACACATTCTTAAATAGTGCTTGCTGCAGAATCATCTTTGGTATTCTCCTGAGCAAGCAGTATCTCCTATTTTTAAGGAAATTCCCACACATGAATAACAAGGCTTCCAAGAGTGTCTGTCCATCAACAAGCTCCTGTTCTGAGATGTCTGGAGAAGACCCAAACACAAGCACGCCGGGGACTCCCCGTGATCAAAGCGAAACAGGTTATACTATTTAGACAGAGACCTACAGAAATAGGGGAATGGACATTAGAAAAACTAGTCCTCTGTCTTTGTATTTCTTCTTTTATGTGTATATATTTACCTTTATAAATAGCTACAGATTGATTTATTTACTTGATTAAAACAAGGCCAATAATAACTATACCTCATCCGGTAGCACTGTAAAATTTAATTAATGTTTCTAAGGTATGAGTTGAACTCACAAGATGAAAGATTCTATATATGTAATATATGTTAAGTGCCCAATCTGGTTTAGTCTGATAATGGCCATAATTTATGTGCATGCCTTGATTATTGTGGTTTCAGTGAGTCTAACCTTGAAAAATGTATTTTAATGTTGAGAATGTGTTTAATGTTGGTTGGCAAATGTTTGGGTGTATAGAACATATGCTTATGTTTTAGCTAGCCCCAATTAGTTGATTCTTGATGTAAAAGATGTTTTACAAAGCAACATGGGAGGTTTTTTGTCTTTTTAAATTGGTCTGAGTGTCCAAGAAGACACTAAGTTGGTCTGTGCCACAAAATGTAAATGTTAAATGTTTAAAATTATTTATTAAAATTATTAAATTATATATCCATATTAAGATGTGCTAAATATGTGAGGATTCACCTGGCACAAAATAAAATGAGGTTTTAAAATGTCAAAAGGAAGATTATTAATCACTAAGAAAAAAAAAAAGAAAAAATATTTTTTCCACAAAATTCACTTAAGGATATTTCATGGAAAACTTAAATAGTAGATTAGGCCCCTGGGTCATTTAAAGTGAGCTAGAGCTCAAGAGCCAAGGGTCTGTGCTTTTAGAACTAACATTTACCTGGGAAGACTGAATGGCTTAGATAACCATGTCAGATTGGGAGCTATTATTACTAGAATGTAGTTTAATATTAACAGGACTCAGCTATCCTTTACGTTAGTATAAAAGTTTATCTTTGTATGGCAAAAGCAGTTTTCTTTTTATCTTTATGTCCATTCCCTTTCAGTTGCACTAATATTTATGATTTTTAAAATAGCTAGCACTCCATACACCTTTCTAAGGAATATAATTACATGAATTAGAACAAGCCCCACTTTTTTTTTTTGTCTTGAAAAGTCCTCAGCGGGTCCATCCATACACCCTTCTAAGGAATATAACTATATGAATTAGAACAACTTTGTTCATTAAATCCTGAAAATTAGCCAGTTAATCCTCCCTTATAAAGGCACAGCATTATTTTATTCTCATTCAATGAAATATTCAATTCAATAAGTATTTACTCTGCATTTACACAGTTGATCAGCATCGTGTGAAATGTGAGACACAATAAAGGAGGGTTTAATGTTTTAGGACACCTTCCCTGGCCTTAAGAGTTTACAGTCTCATTTTAGGCAGGAAGAACAATAGGGTACATTGAAAACAGATAGGAGTCAATCTTCTCCCTTTCAGGCCTCTATCTCCTTTTTCTGTAGCCCAGGGTCCAAAGTGCCATTAGAGCCTTTCTCTCTGCCTGTTGTCATCAAACAGCACAAAGCTGATAGTGGCCCAAGGTGGTACCTTTTCTAGGAGGATCTGCATTTTAACTAGTCTAGGAGGACATTTTTAAAGTCTAGGAGGACTTTTCAAGACAAACAAAAAAAAAAGTGGGTCTGTGTAAACAAAGTTAGAATATTGACTTATTCTTACCGTTCTGATTTGTCTATCTCAAGCTATACAATACAAACTGCTTTTACTCCACCCACAATCTTGTCACGCCCCTGCTTTTAAAAGCCCAGCTTGCTGGCTCATCTCCATGCTGTCTACCCTAGCCTACAGGGTAGACTCCAAAATTTTTGGCTTTTTGTGCCAGGCACTCTTAAGCCTCATCTTCCTTCCTTCCAACCAGACATCCTACTTTCCAGCACTTTCCATATGTCCACAAACAGGCCAGGCACTTTCACAACTCCCTGCCTTGCCCCTGTTTCCACTTCCCAGAATGCCTTTCATGCTCTCCCCTCTTGTCTTTTTGGCAACTCCTACTTTGAGACCCAGCATAAACATAAATTCCTCTGTGAAACTCTGACTATTCCAAAATTCCCCCAAATTTCTTGTTTCACCTGTTCCCATAGCACTTTGTACATTTGTTATAGTACTGTTATGGAAATTAGTTTTGAAACTATCTTCCCCCACTGCCTTCTCAATGGCAGGCACCTAGTATAGTGTCTGGCATACAAAGTCGTTCAATACCTGCTTGTTGAATGTTTCTGCAGTTACAATGATCAACAGGTTGGCAAATTTAGTTTTATTTGACATTGTGTTCTCCCACCCCTCCCAAATGCCTTTGAATTAAATAAAAACTCCCAACAGGGAATTTACAAGGTTTATTGTTGCCAATTTACAGGTTTGTTCTTGTGAGTAATCTATTTTAAAATTTGGGCTCATGGAATACATTGGTAGAAAACATTGACTTTTGCCAATATTGTATTGCCAATATTATACACTTTGTCTCAAAGAAGTGTATAAACTGAGATTTGGTAAAAGAAGTGGCTTTGTTTAGTCTGTAAATTACTAGGTTAATGACTGATGGGGGTCGGGGTTGGGGTTGGTCCTGGGGGTTGTGTCGTGTGGGGTGGGGGGCGTGTTAGTTACCTTCCTGTTTCTTGGCCTTAAAATGCACGCTTAACTCTGGCCAGCTATCTTAGAAAATGCTCCTGGTAGGAAGGGAAAAGGATTTTCAGCTATATTACTGAGAACGGTATCAAAATTCAGGCCCTATTCAGTATTGGGTCAGTGGTGTCCTTGACATAAAAGAGAAACAACTTATAGCTCAACTGAATCAAAAACTCCCTTTCTTTCCATCTAAGCTCTTTTTCTTTTCCTATCTTAACATGACATTCCTCCTTAGCTGGAGGCATAATGGCATCATTATATTTTCTTCCATTTCGGGTTACTCCCCTCGCCTTGCAACCCCTCCTTATTCCTTTATCTCTTTCAAAGTTTCCATTCTCCGTTCCCTTACTTTTTACTCCCTCCCTTCCTCTCTCCCTCCTCCTCTTTTTTCCCAGCTAGCTCACCCCGCCCATCACCGTCACCACCGCCCCTCCCCGTCAGCCTCCTTCCCGCTCCTTCTCCCGCCACCCCCCTTCACCCGCCCGCCTCACGTCCAGAAAGCTCCAATCAGGAGCTCCGAGGGTGCCCGGAGGCCCGCCCCCTCCTCCCTTTCCACTTCTCTTCCCCCCCTTTTCTCCCTCCCCCACCCCCCCGCTCAAGTCCTGCGGACCTGGGGGCTTCGGGATCTGGGCGCTATGAAAAGTGTCTGCCCAGTCACTTCCGGTAAGGGCGTTGCGGCGCGAAGCTTCCCGCGGGACCGTTAAGGAGGGGTGGGAGTTACCGGCGGGCCGGGTGAGGAGAGTGCTGCCAGGGACGGGGAGCGGGTGAGGAAGGGGGAGGGAGAGCCAGAGCGAACGAAGGAGCACGAGCGTCTGGGGCGCCTTAGCCGCCCCTTGCCCATCGCCTCCCCGCGAGCCGGCTCCCCCGCCCCCCGGCGCCTGCAGTGCTTCTCTCCACCCCCCCCTCCCGGGGACAGACGCCGCCCCTCCTTCGCGGCCGCGTGACCGGAAGTGGCGCCATCTTTAGCCTCTTGTGCTATTGACAATAACAAGCCCCGGTCCTCTCCCCCTTCCCCCTCCCCCCAGCCCCGGCATCTCCCCTCCCAGAGAGAGGGAGAAAAGGAGGAGGAGCTGCCGCCTCACAGACTCACTGAGTCGCTCCTGCAGAAAGGGGGGAGAGAGACCGAAAAGCAGGGGAGGGGGACGGCACGGCCGTTTACCTGTCTGCCTCCTCATTCGTTCTCCCCCCTCGTTCTGCTCACTCCTGGTGTCAGCCTATCCGCCTTCCCAAACCCTCCCATTCCCCCGGTGTAGCCCCCCCTTCACTTTCCTTCTCGTCCTCTGTGTTTCTCCTCTCTTCTTTCTTCCCTTCCCCCTCTAGCACTGCCACCTTCTCTCCTACACGCACGCAGGCATATAAACCTAGGTTTTTGATGCTCCTCTGCCTGTTGACCCCGCTATTTTCATGTTTCCAACAGGTTTTTCTTCCCCCAATCCCTCAGCTGCTGCTGCTGCTCAGGAGGTCAGATCTGCCACTGATGGTAATACCAGCACCACTCCGCCCACCTCTGCTAAGAAGAGAAAGTTAAACAGCAGTAGCAGCAGTAACAGTAGTAACGAGAGAGAAGACTTTGATTCCGCCTCTTCCTCTCCTCCTTTACAACCCAGGGATTCGGCATCCCCTTCAACCTCGTCCTTCTGCCTGGGGGTTTCAGTGGCTGCTTCCAGCCACGTACCGGTACAGAAGAAGCTGCGTTTTGACGACAACCTGGAGTTTGTAGGGTTTGATGCGAAGATGGCTGAGGAATCCTCCTCCTCCTCCTCCTCCTCTTCACCAACTGCTGCAACATCTCAGCAGCAGCAACTTAAAAATAAGAGTATATTAATCTCTTCTGTGGCTTCGGTGCATCACGCAAACGGCCTAGCCAAATCTACCACCGCCTCTAGCTTTGCTAACAGCAAGCCTGGCTCTGCTAAGAAGTTAGTGATCAAGAACTTTAAAGGTAACCAAGGCCAAAATCCATAATCACCTACTAAGGATTTGACACTTGAGTGGTCACGTGCTCTATTTATGTTAATATATTAAACAGCATAGAGGTGGCCTAATGTTTTATGCATAATCAATGAAGCAGAGGGAGGTCCTTTTTTGGGTGGAGGGTTCATTTTCCGGGGGTGGTTTGTATCCTTGTGCTGAAGTATGCACTGGGTGTTTGTGTGTAGTATTTTGAGGTCTGTCTCAGCCTATTGTATCTAATCTGTCATTCCTGATAACATTGACCATCGGTATGATTGATCTGGATTTTACAGGTGAGAAATTTGTATTCTAAAGAGGTTTATTTATTTCAGGTGCATAGTGAGCCTTGGCATTGCTGGGATTTTTATTTTTATGCTTCAGTAGGCCACATTCTCCAGTCCCTAGAAATGCAGGTAGAAATGGTGACATTTTCATGCTCAAAGAAGATTTATGGTTAGATTTATAATGTTGAATACTGTATTCTTGACACTCATTGTGGAAGCAGTATTTGGAGAAAAATGTTTATGATCTCTGCATTTCTTCCCAAAGGTAGGGTTTGGCAGTGAAAAATAATGTGTATACACAGAAGTAGTAACTGTGTACCACTAGTCTAAAGATAGGATCAAGTACTGTATCTATTTTTTTATCACTAAGATGGGTTTTAAAGTACTGACCTGCAGCTTTTAGGAAAATTTGTTCCTTTTGTGTTTCAGATATGTGATTGAGAGTATTATGAAGGCATCGATACAAATATAAAATCAGCAATTTAAAAAAATGTAATTGAGCTGAATTACTTTTTATCCGTTGACTGTGTTTCTGTTTTTCTGACTAACTTTTTCAACACCCTTAACTGGCAGGTATTAGATGCTAAAATGTTTATTAAGTGGAGAAGTAAATGAATGAACTAAAGTAATATTTACCAGATAAGTGCCTTGTGGCTAGATGTTAGTATTGAGAAAATTAGATTTTCCATGCTTGTGTTTTCAACATTAGTGTGGAAATCAGGAATGTGCTCTATTTTGTCTCAAGCAGGGGGTTATAGTGTTATTTTTAACCATTTTTTTTCTATCACTCCTCTCCCATCCCCAGGATCTCAAGAGTATTGTAATATTTCTGATTTAATAGTAGACTTTTCTGAAGTAAATATGAATTCTGATTGACTAATGTATTCACTGTTTCACTTAAAATATATCGATTTAATAGCCAAGGAGTTTTAAAGAGATGAGCTGTGATCCTAATTGCATTTGCATATTGGTTTCAGAGATTTTGTTTGTTTGGGTTTTTTCTCTCCCTCCTAAAATAAAAACACATTATTAAGGCATTTGGATGTTTTCATTTAAAAAAAGTACTCATTGCTGGTCAATGAATTTTAAACTAAAGCCTGGATTAAGATGTTCCTTTTCATTCTGAAAATGCTACATAGGTTCTGGAGTCATTTGGATGTTTTAATTTTTTAAAATTTTACTCTGCTCAGAAATGCAGTTTAAGTCAAAACCTGAGTTAAGATGTTTCTCTCCATTTCTGTAGATGCTGCATAAATGTGGGGGGTCAAACAGACCTGGATTAGAATCCCAGCTTTGCCATTGACTAGCTATGGTGACCTTGGGCAAGCCTTACTAAATGAATCTTCCAGCCTCAGTTTCCACAGTTGCAAAATAGGCGTAATAATACCTTCCTCAGGGCATTATTAGGAAGGTTCGGATGTTTATAAGGTACCTTGTACATAATAGGCATTCAGTATTTTAAATCTCAGGTACAAAATTCATGTTGACTGACTTAGGTTTTACACATGATGGAATAAGATCAGGATTGTTATTTTTTATCTGTCATTCTTGAATTTTTGTTTTTTGAAGCAATACAGTCAATAGGAGATAAAAACCTCACCCTCAGTTTTAATAGGTGAGTCAAAATGACTTAAACAGTATTCTGGCATTTCAAATTTTGTTCTTTATGTGAAGTCTAAATACAGTGGTTACTTGACTATTTAGGTGTAGTAAAGATCACAATTTACCCTTAAAAAGCAGTCATACTATTATTGTATTTTATGGATCTTTCCGTTACTATGTCCTACATACCATTCTGATATCAACCTTTTATATATCATCTAGATAAGCCTAAATTACCAGAAAACTACACAGATGAAACATGGCAGAAACTGAAAGAAGCAGTGGAAGCTATCCAGAATAGTACTTCGATTAAGTACAATTTAGAAGAACTCTATCAGGTATGTATTAATGTGAATAACCAGCTTTCGTTAGCATAAATTGAAGTGGATTTTATTTTCTGAAATGGGTCCTTATGTAGACTTTTGATTCCCTTCTAATTACAGTTTCTCAGTTGGTTTATGCACTGTTTTATAATCAGACCACATATTCTGACATAAACTATGGGTACAGTCATATTGGTATAAATTGGGCTTTTCTTGGAACCTTCTGATTAGGATTTATAGTTAGGAGTACCTTGGTATAATAGAGGTTTTACCTATAAAGGAATCCTATAGCCTGGATCCCAAAGATATTTCTGGTGACATGTCATTTTATTGTGATTCTTCTTGCTAAGTGGTGTTACCTATAGGAAATGCCTCAAGAAATGCAGATATTCTGCATATACTTTATTCTCCCTCCTTCCTATTAGTAGCCTTTGGCCATTTCTTTTTCTTGCTCTGTATGTTGTCTTATCTCCTGGGCTACCGGACACACCTTAGCCAAAAAATGAGCAGCGGGTTGTATTCCAGTGATGGTCAGAGGTTCAGGTTTGTTTCTTTTGCTTAACAAGTGGGTCTGTACTTGAAGTCTTTAATTTAAATATACTGGTGAAGGCAATTACTGATTTAGACTTCTTGCTACCAAGATATTTTGCCCTACCTATATTTTTGATACAACCAATTCAAGAAGTTTCCATTATAGCATCAGCAGTTTTGTTTAAAAAAATACTTTAGACTCTAATAGCTTGGGTTTTTGTATTGATGAGTCCCTTGTAAGAAATTACGTTGGGTCAGTTGATCAGAATTTGCAGTTTTTGTCTGTTCATTTTAGTTGCAGAGGTAGTATGGTGATGGACAAACCCTGGATTAGGAGTCAGAAGACAGTTTTGGGATCTAGTTTTGGCTGCTGTTATCCTTATGATCTTGGTCAAGGAACTAAACCTCTCTGAGCTTCAGTTTCCTCCTCTGCAAAATAGGGGAAAGAGTACTTGGCCTATTTACCTCAGGAGGTTGCTCAGAAGAATCAAATAAGATATTTGTGAAATCATCTACTGTGATACAGAAATATAAGATGATATTATCACTAGTCAAACTTCTTCATAATTCACAGTGTGGCTTTTTCACTTGTAATATGTCAATTGAGATCACCAGTTTCTGTTGCTGTGAAAGTTAAATGAGTCAGTGCATGCAAAACACTCAGAATGATGCCCAACATATAGTAATAATGCTGTGTAATATTATAAGCATTATAATACTATGTAAGTGTCAGTTAGTAATAGTAGTACTACGCTATTACTTACAGATAAGCCCACCTCATTTGGCTATGTTGGTATATTACATACATGGCTCCTAAGTTGTACAATAATAAAAGTAGCATTATGGAGTTAGAGTTGGAAAGGCCTTAAGAAAGATCATGTGGTCCAATATCTTTTCTTCGTACACGTGACAGCCTGCAAAGCAGGTTCATCGTTTATTATCTCATTTAAGCATTTAGAAACCCTTTGTGAAGTAGATAAGGTAGTAGTTATTATCCCACTCTATTGATAAGGAAACTGAGTCTTAGGGAAGTTAAATAACATCCCCAGAGTCATATATTGGCAGGGCAGGGGACTCAAACTGAGGTGCCCAAGTTTCTTGTCCGGTGCACTTTGACTACCACGCTGCCTCACTAATACACCACAGCACTTCGAATGACTTTGTAGTGCAGTGTTTGAAGCAAATAGTTTTACTTTAGGAAAAAAACTCTTTGTCATCAAAGAAGGTAATTTTTTTCGTTCATGCACGTATATGGTGTTTATTTGGATATGCTGCTGTTCAGCATCTTTAATTTCAATAACGTTACCATATTTCATATAACATTGATTGTGGTTGTTGATAAACCCTATTTACTTTACTTTAAATATTTTTCTGTAGCTTTTGGTTCAAAAATATTTTTCCTGATAAATTGATTCTCTTAAATCCCTTTATGTTTCAAGAGCTCATAGCTTACATTTTTTGTGTTTTTCCTTTTTTATACTTAAGAGTTATTACCTGCTATTGTTCAGTTGCATTTCTTCAGCCTAAAATCAGTGTTATAACTTTTCATTATTTGCATTTTTCATAATTCTTTACTACTTCTGCTCTAAGTTCAAAAGCATTTGTTTCTAGCTCTTTTGTTGTTTTTGACCCTAATTTTACAAATGCTCCTTTCGATTGTTCTCAGAAAGATTATTTTGGGATGTTCCAGTTCAAAAAAGAGGATAAAAGAATAAAGGGAGTAAAATTATTTCATACCATCTGTATTTCAGGTGCTTGTTTGATTTTGATTGGTTGAAATGTAATTTAAAATTACTCTCCTAAAATTGAAACAATATGAAAGTATGTAGTATACCAAACAAAAGTTCTCCAAACTTTTCATTACCCCATCCCACCCTCTGTCCCTGAAGTAAGCACATATAAATTTGGCATATACTTATGCAGAACTTTTTTCTGTGCCTACAAAACCATTTTGCTTTAAAGCTTAAGTGTGGAAGTCCCTAGTGTGGATTGCGTGTACTGCCTCCTAAGTTTTTAATTTCTTGTCCAGAACATGCTGTTGAGTGCCTTGGCAGTAAGCAAACATTGTCTTTGAAAAGTGATTTTAAATGAGAATTGTACCCGAGTTTAAAAATTATCTTTCTTTGGCAACCTTGAAATCCTGTAAGTGTGAAGCGATGGTTAATGTTGTTTTGGTTTGGTCTTTTTTGTTTGTTTGCTTGTTTTTGATTGACAACAGATAGGAGTATGGTTAAATGCACTGACTGAGTTGATCAGCCTGCCTTAGATTAGAGATCTGCCACTCATGATAACTTTGAGTGAGTTACTTCTCTAAGCCTTGGTTTTCCTCATTTGCAAAATAGGGAGACTGACACTACCTATATGGCAGGGTTGTTTAGTTGTAAATAAAATACTGCAAACAGGTACTTACTACAGTTCCTGCTATATCTGGATGTCATCAATGACGATGATGATGATAAATATTTGAGTCTTTAAAATGATATCTTTAAGATAACATTTTAGTATACAGCTCTAAAGTCACACATGTTTTTAGATTCTAAATCCACACTGGGCCAGAACAGCTGGCTGATAAATAGATTACATTCCAAATATGTGTCAGTAGACACCATTAGCCAAATTGAAAAAATAATAGAAAAAGAGAGGAACTCTCTATGAACAGTGTCCCTCTGCACTTCTCAAGAATGTGTCTTGTTTTACATGTGGTATCTTAATAGTTGGAATTTTGGTTTTGGCATGTGATTTTTTTACTAAGTAATATTTTAAATAATGGGATTATTTTCTTCATGTTCTCAGCCTTTGTATGAGTTGCTGTGTAGTGTTTTTAAATCAGTTACCTTTTTTGGAGCTGGCTGGTTGTTTATATGTGAAAGTATAACATTTATTCTTAATATAAATGTCTAGCTATTATTTTTGGAGGCAAGCCTAGTCCATACTTCAATTCTGATGAAAATAATTTTATCTATCATTAATAACAGGAACTCTTATTTGGTTAGCTTTTTGTGAAATACATCTTAAATAATGAACCTTTCTATTAATTATTCATTTATCAAGTAGATGACCACAACACTGGAAGCAAATAGTGCATTCGTCTCAGTATAGGTTATTATCCATTGTAAAATCTGGTTGCGTAAGCAGTCAATGGTTATAGGCGAGCAGTTAGATTCTTAGCAAAGATGACTAGTTATTGTATTCTATGTAAGTTTGTTTAACAGTTGTCACTCTGTTGATATTTTTTTTTATGATTTTTATTTATTTATTTTTCCCCCAAAGCCCCAGTAGATAGTTGTATGTCACAGCTGCACATCCTTCTAGTTGCTGTATGTGGGACGCGGCCTCAGCATGGCCGGAGAAGCGGTGGGTCGGTGCGCGCCCGGGATCCGAACCTGGGCCGCCAGCAGCAGAGAGCGCGCACTTAACCGCTAAGCCACGGGGCCGGCCCTCTGTTGATATTTTTAAACTTAGTCTGTCAGGTTATGTATCGCTCCTCTTTTTAGTGAATTGTTAATACTATCCCAGCTATTTAAAAAAATATGCAACTACAAATTCTTAGTCCTTGATAATTTCAGTTTTATTTAAGCCCTTTTGACTAGATGTAAAAAGGAAAATAATTTAGCTTTCATCGTCTGTCTTCCTTTCTGCAAATTCTTAGTTTTTGATATATTTTGAGTATCTTATTGTAGCCATTTGTACTAGATATAAAAAGAAAGATAATTTAGATTTTGTTGCTGTATCAGCTGTTGCAAAGTTTTGTGGTGTGCTCTTTCCTTTCTTTCTTTAAACATATGGTTTGAAAAATAAGACCCACTCCATTAGGTTAGTGACCAGATTTCAGCACCCTAATGGGAATTTAATATCTTTCTTAGTGTCTGTTGTTCGTTAAATCAGAAAAATTGCTAGATTTCCTCCTTTACCATGTTTAATTATTTTTGCGCTCTTTGTATTTTTATCCTTATTTTAATCCTCTTCATTTTTTATTCTAGTTTTCTCACCCTCGTTTCTACTCCTTCCCTTGTCCCAAATGCAAATCTTGTGCACCTTTGCTGTTTCTTAAATCCTATATTCCCCAAAGCATCAAATTTCACAAACTATAGTTTTTCATTTCATTTGCTACACGTTTATATATTTTTTTTGGAGTGTGTTTTTTCCCCCAGACAAACACGTTTTTGATGTGACATGTATGGATTTTGGGGGGGAGGGGCTGGGATTTGGAGATAGAATGTTTTTATTTTATACCTGACTACCTTCAAAAAGGATTTAAGGCAGCATATTTACCAGTAATGATTGGGAGCTCAAGTAAAAAGCTAGTTCTGTTTAAGAGACTTGTAAAACTATCTAGAATCTGTTTAATACAAATAGTTGCCTGTGAAATGAGGTTATTTTAGTAATAATTATACTAGATAAAACTTTCAGGGATTTCCAAAGTTTTTAGTGAAAGTAAAATAATACATTTCTAAAAGTGCATTTCAAAGATCTGGAATAAAATAGAGCTTATCTCAAACTCCTAAGTAGTGATTTAACCCTTTCTTATTCATGTTTCTGTCCCAGCACCTAACAGGATACAGAGTACTTAGTGAGTACTCAGTCATTGTTGAATCAGTGACTGCTTACTCTTTGCAAAGCTGGACAGACACCATGGGCATGTAGAGATCACTTAGTCCTTTCCCCCAAGGTTTTTATATTCTAGTAGGTTCATGAAATTAGTAGTTTATGACCAGCATTTTTTTAAAGAAATAAAGCAGAAAATATCAGAGTACATCACATGTAGTAATGGTTTCATGAAGATTTTGTTTCGGTTACATAAATTTATTTTATGTACAATAGATTGTGACATAAAATGTGTTACTTACTGTGCCTTGTCAGAAATTTTTGGAAGCCACTATTTTAGGCACACATGACTGCTCCAAACAAACCTTGCTTAAAAGTGAGGAAAGCAGAGTGTTTAGATCAGAGAGTGTGTGGAAGATTATAAACAGACATGAGACTAAAATAGTTAAGACTGAGCCTTGAATGCCATGCTGAAAGTGTGGTGGTTGGGGAGATAGAAAGAGTTTTATTGGGTGAGGCAAGTATTTAAGTTTTTTGAATACTTAATATATTCATCTGGTTCAGAGCCCAAAAAGTATTACAGAGCATGTAGTGAAAAGTTTCACTTCCACCTCATCCTCCAGTCCCCCAAGCTAGTTCCCCTCTCCACAAACGTTATTAGTTTTGGGGGTATCTTTCCAGAGATGTTTTATGTATGTAAAAACACAACTGTATGTTTTTATTCATTTTCTCTTTTTTACATTAATAGTAGTAGACCATGCACCACGCCACACTGTTCAATCCTTTGTATTTTTTTATACTTATTATGGGATTTCTCCAGAACAGTACATGAAGAGTTTGATGGGAGGTTGTCGAGGAAGGGAAATTACTAGATCTGGTCTATATGTTAAGAAGCAGCCAAGGCTAAATTAGAAAAGCAGAGTGTTCTCTTCCAACTTGACCTTCAAAACTTGCCTTGGATGATCCTGTCTTGCCTGCTTTTCTTGCCTCTAATGTCCTAAACCACCCTTCAGCTAAACACAGGTGAGGCTGTGTGCGTATAAAGCCCGGCTTAATTCTCTATTTCTCACTATTCCCACTAGCTCTTTTTTTTTTTTTTTTGGTGAGGAAGATCAGCCCTGAGCTAACATCCATGCTAATCCTCCTCTTTTTGCTGAGGAAGACCGGTTCTGAGCTAATATCTATTGTCAATCCTCCTCCTTTTTTTCCCCGAAGCCCCAGTAGATAGTTATATGTCATAGTTGCACATCCTTCTAGTTGCTGTATGTGGGACGCGGCCTCAGCATGGCAGGAGAAGTGGTGCATTGGTGCGTGCCCGGGATCTGAACCCGGGCCACCAGTAGCGGAGCGCGTGCACTTAACCGCTAAGCCACGCGGCCGGCCCTCCCACTAGCTCTTTATCCATTTCCCTCTGGGTCTTTGGGACTCCACCTCTTTATCTCACTCACCTCTATGCTTATCCCAATCATAGCACCTAGCACAGGGTATTGTGATTATGTTTTCTGGCCAGTTTTTTCCTTACACTATAAGCCCCTTCTTTGTACAGGACACATTGCTAGTTGTAGATACATTGGTTTTTTGAATATTTACTATATTCACCTGGTTCAAAGCCCAACAAGTATTAAAGAACATACAGATACATGAGCACATGGTCTCTCTGTCATTAAGGAGAGATGGGGGACAAGATGTACACATAAAAAGATGTGGTATTTCATCGTTTCTTATGGCTGAGTAGTATTCCATTGTGTATATATACCACAGCTTCTTTATCCATTCGTCCCTTGATGGGCACTTAGGTTGCTTCCAAGTCTTGGCTATTGTGAATAAGGCTGCAATGAACACAGCCATTTGTGACAACATGGATGGACATTGAGGGTATAATGCAAAGTGAAATAAGTCAGAGGGAGAAGGCCAAATACCGTATGATTTCCTTCATTAAGTAGTAGATAATAACAACAATAAACAAACACATAGAGACAGAGATTGGATTGGTGGTTACCAGAGGGGAAGGGGGGAGGGTGGAGGGTGAAAGGGATAATTCGGTACATGTGTGTGGTGATGGGTTGTAATTAGTATTTTGGTGGTGAACATGATGTAGTCCGTGCAGAAATAGAAGTACAATGATGTACACCTGAAATTTTTGCAATGTTATAAACCAATGTTACTGCAATAAAAAAAAAAAAAAGCAATATATGCACATGGTTATTAAAAAAAAAAAAAAAAAAAGATGTGGTATTGACTCAGTGACAAGTCAGTGTGGTATGATTGGTGATAGTGCCAGGTGAGTCACTGGTAGCTGAGGCAGTTAAGGAAAGCTTACTGGAAGAAGTGGGACCTAGCTGAGTGGGAAGGGAATATGGTATCTTGTATGAGAAAATAAGTAGCTGCATTGAGAACTACTGTATGGGAGAAAGGAACACAGCAGAAGGGAATGGAGTAAGTACTGGAAGTGGAAAATGTGGAGAAGATGAAATACAAAAGCAGAATCTAGGCAGCGAAATGAGAAATGCTGAGAAAATGAGTCACTCAAAAGGACCACCGCGATACAATGAGAAGACTACTGAAGGAGGAAGGGGGAGAATCCATAGAGAACCAATGTGAACAGAGAGGCACATGAAATAAATATAAACACACCCTCCAGGCATTTGTGGCCTAACCCAAGGCCCCATGGAAGGTGGCCAGTGGAGACTCAGCCTTCTTATTTCTCCGAAGCTGCTGGATCTAATTGGCTTACTGTTTCCTGGTGAGGTGTGGTGCCTTACCTCTAGTGGTATAAGTGATTTTCTTTAAGCTTTCTTTTCATTTGCTTATTTATTTACTGGACATGCATACTGGGAATATGACTTGCAACTACACATTTGTAAAATTCCACTCCAACCAAGAGAACTTGGATGCTCCCTTAGAATCAGTTTTAATTGAATTTTTGCCTTCTGTTGTGGTGAGAAAGGAATCCCGATGTTATACTTAAGTCATTACTATTTGGAATAGTAGCTTGTATCAGAGTTCATCCTAAGAGTTTTACCAGGCCTGTTGTTTTAAATTTGAAAGTCTTTTGATACGCATAACAAAAACTCACTGAAATATGAAGTTTGTCCTTTTGGGATCTGAGTATAAAAGAAGACCAATTCAACTATTAGAATGAAGTAAAAATACAGTCATTTCTTTTGTAATTATTGTTTATTCAGTTGTACAAGTTTTAAAACGTGTATATTTAAATATTCTTAAACTGAAATGTTGGATAAAAATACATAGTGTTTAATTATATCATACTCATTATAATCCTGTTACCAATAATTTCTGCACTGTTCTGTGCAGGAAAACCAAAGAAAGTATAAATACATTTTAATTTAGTGGTAATTGGACTGCCCAACCCATCTGATAAACAATTAGTGAGATTATTTTTTTAAACTCAGAATGGAATTCTGCTTATTAAAACAACATTTTTAAGAGCAAGACAGCATTTATATGTAGCAATTTTAAATCAGATGTCTTCACAGGGGAGAACTTGGCTTGAACCCCTCCATCCTTTACCTGTACAGCCATAATAAAAATATTAATTTTTTTGGTACAGTACATTGGTTAAGAAGAAGTTCATTACCTACATTGATATTTTGTTGTTTTACCTTGTTTTTTAAATGGATGAATAACTTCTTAATAAGCTGACATGGTAGAAATATCAAAATAATAAGAATTTTATATAAATCATTGAAAACCCCCCCTTTTTCTCCTTAAGTATGTGTTTAATCTTGCAGGCTGTAGAAAACCTCTGTTCTTACAAGATTTCTGCAAACTTGTACAAACAGCTGAGACAGATTTGTGAAGATCACATCAAAGCACAAATTCATCAGTTCAGAGAATATCCTTTTAAAAACAAAAACTCTTGTATTCTCATCTTCTCCTCCCTCCCTATCCCTCACTATTTAACCCAGCTTGAAATGGAATGCCTGTGTTTTGTAGGTTTGTTATTTTTGTTCATTTTGCTTCTAGAGAAAGAAGAAACAAATTTTTGACTTTTCAGCTTTAATTAGGGTCCAAATCTACATTGTGGTGTTAGTGTGAATAAGATGTCCTTATGTCTTTACCCTTTTTGTCCTAATGAATTTCCGTTTGAGAAAAGATAATCTTCTAAGGGAAATCATAAACTGAAGACACAATGCTCAATTATGTCTAAGACTTGTTTTTAAAGGTATTTTTTAGTGAGAGCTAAATTTTTTTTTTACGGTTTAAAACATAGCATTTTGTTCTGTGATTAAGTGCTATTTAGTTTCATTTAGTATGTAGAGTATTCCATATTTAAGGCAAACGTACTCTTACATCGCATGTATTGCTTGTACTAAGCGCTTTAAAATTTCCTTAACATATGTCTCATGGATTCATTGGATAGTGTTCTTTTTCTAAAGAAGATCGATAGATGCTGGCAAAACCATTGCAGACAAATGGTAAGCTGGAAAAAGTATTATATTTCAGCTAAATATTGTAGTTAAAAAATAAATTTCTTTAAATACAGGACTATTAGTTTTAAAAGCTTTGCAATAGGTGGACTGCCTCTATATCTGCTCTTGTTCTGAATTGGAAACTAATTTTGGTTGAGTTTTCTATTTTAAAACTGCAAGTTATGGGTAAACCAGCATTTTAGAATGACTTGCACCTTAGGATCATTTTAATTTTTGTCACACGTAACCAAAAAGTATTTATCTCATTAAAAAAGTTTCATTTTGTCTGTCTTGATGGATATGTCCCGCCCACTGTTTGATTACCTATGAAGGTGCCTGATGGTCCTGTGTTTTAGCTTATTCAGATCACAAGCTTTTCCTTTTTCTGTAATCTGGTATTATTTTATACCAGATATTCTGCAAATTAAAAATCTTAAAATCCGTCCCTCCCCACCCAAAACCCCACACGTGCACTTAAGGTAGCTTCACCCTGAACACTGTTGCTGAGGAAGAATGGTATGCATGTCCCCTTGATTGCCTGTTTTTATTTTCAGTTACTTGTTAAGTTGCCAAGGAGTAATAGAACCTTTTTAAGTGTCCCTTTTCTGGAAACTACAGCAAGGATTAAGACAATAGTATAGGTTAGTAAACATGGTATGGGTGCGTTCTCAGGTAAATATGTTTATCTATATGTTTGATCCTAGTAGTCTAGTATATATACGAGCAAACCCTGAAATTTTATTCTTATTTTATCAAGAGCAAGTATTTCAGCTTCACAAAGTATAAAAATTGTTTAATTTATTTTTTTTTCATTGGCAGATCATGATCAGGAGCATTTTTTTGTTTCTGGATAGAACTTATGTTCTTCAGAATTCAATGCTACCATCTATATGGTAAGGATGCCAGAAAAAAAATAAGAAAAAAATTGGTTAGAAATCATAGTCAAATCTTAATTACACTAATGGAAGAGAGTAAGTGATACTGTGAATATTCTTCTAAAAACTCACATTTGGCTTCTAGACTTGTATTTATAGCAATTTTACCTTCTTAATTCTGTTTTGCCTATGCTAATATTGGAGATAACTAACATTCCCTGAGCATATAATAATTTATGAAGATTTTTTGTTAGTCAGGAGGATTAAAGTTTGCTCTGGACTAGCTGAGTGTGCATCATTTTGTTGCTGATCAAGAGTTCCCTCGTTATCTTTCAACATTATTACGGAAAATTCCATGTATACACAAAAATAGAATAGTATAATAAGCTCTTTCCCCACCATGTGCCTAGCATCTACCTACAGCGGTTGTCAGGGAGTTTACTGATTTTTGAGTACTGAAGCCAGGTGACAAATGACCAGTTAAGCACTTCTTTACCAGTACAGTGAAGACCATTTTATATCTTTGAACTACTTTTGTCTCTTGATTTGTCCAAGGAAGAAATCCACCAAAGGAAATAATACAACAAAACTTGGAAGACAGGAATTTAACTTCAGTTCTCATTAAAGACAAAATGAGTTTCCTGTGTACTTTAATCTAATAATACCATTTAGAATTAAATGTGTGGATTTTATCCTTTAACAATTGCTGCTTCAAAGCCTGGATCCCTAATTAGCATGTGGTGAGCAATTAAGCAAGCCTCTCCAGAAGTGGTATTGTTGTCAATTATTTTAGATTATATATTTTCTTTTATTTTAGGGACATGGGACTGGAGTTGTTTAGGGCTCATATTATAAGTGACCAGAAAGTCCAGAATAAGACAATTGATGGCATTCTTCTCTTGATTGAGAGAGAAAGGAATGGTGAAGCTATTGACAGAAGTTTACTCCGAAGCCTTTTAAGCATGCTCTCTGATTTGCAAGTAAGTTAACTACTCACTTACTACAGAGCTGCCTGCTATCCCTAGTTTGATGTTTAAAAATCATAGTGCTGTTCACATAGAGAACGTTCAGTAAATACTTAGTGAAAAAATGAACTCCTTTATTTTGTTTCCCCCTCCCAGATTTATCAGGATTCTTTTGAACAACGATTTTTGGAAGAAACTAACCGCCTCTATGCAGCCGAAGGCCAAAAATTAATGCAGGAAAGAGAGGTATTTAAACATCATGATTAATAAATTCACTGTCTCACAATAGACCTTACTTTATAGAACATAAACTGCCCTTTACATTTATCTTCCCAGCATTGTGGTGCTTTTCTTTCACTTAGGTGCTCCTTTCTTTTCTCTCTTCTTAAAGGCCAGAATTCTGGATCATATACTCTACCTATAATTTTACATATGATTCAACCCTGTCACATTTGACAGGGCTGCTCCCAGGATCTTTTGGACTTGACATTTTCTGAATGATTTATGGGGAGAAAAACAATAATATAAAAAACTATCTTTGTAGGTTCCTGAATATCTTCATCATGTTAACAAACGTCTAGAAGAAGAAGCAGACAGACTTATTACTTACTTAGATCAGACCACCCAGTAAGTATTACATGTTCAGCCTAATAGCCTTAACCTGTGTTGTTGAATCACTTAAGGCACTTTAGGCATCCCCAAACATGTTAGTTACTATTTTCATATGTGACTTGAGATTTAAGAATTGTTTTCATAATGCAAACTTCAAGTTGTTATTTTCCCAAGTTAAATAGATTTAACCAAGGATTTGATTGTTGGTTGTGTGTATGTGTTTAGGACATAATTAAAAAATAGTATTAGAAGCTGATGTGATCTTTGAAATCTTCAGGCCGATTGAAATTCAGTGGGTGTTTATCAGAGAAACTGTGCTTCCCTAAATATTACCAACCAAGGAGTTCCTGTAAGCAGCATAGATAACTTCTTTACCTTCCTAATAAAAGCAGAGAAACTTGGAAAAAGCCAACCACAGCATGACCATGGAAATACTTATTTCACGATGTAGATCAAATTCTGAAATATGCAGTGTTTTCCTTTTTCTAGGCCTAAAGTAGAGTAACTCTGAGCACCAATAAATTTATATGTAGAATAGGAATATTGACATTAATACAAATGAGGTATTTGACTTTTTTCCCCCCAGGAGAGGCTTTTTAAATTTTCAGCAAAGTCAAATGTCAGTCATTCTAAACTTTTTTTCCTTGTAGGAAGTCATTAATTGCTACTGTAGAAAAACAACTTCTAGGTGAACACTTAACAGCAATTCTTCAAAAAGGTAATTGGCAATTTATAAATAAGAAATTACTTTTAAATGGTAGCAGCAAACAAGTAGAGCGAATTTTTAAAGATTTCCCTTTTAAAAACTTAATAGCATGTGACTGCATTTCTGAGGATGGATACGATCCCTTTTCCCTGTTTATTACAGTAAACTTTCAGGAGGTGCCGCTTTTCCTTAGCTTAAAGATACAGGCACTGAGATGAGAGGGGTCCACTAACACCAGTAAAGAAACAGTAGGAATTTGGGAATTCTTGACTTAATTTGTAAGACTACAGTAAGGAAAGGCATTCCTTTTCACACAGATGTTTTTGTTCATAGCATATAAAACCAGGTACTTCTACTAATCCTAAGTGATCTTTGGAGTATACCCTGAATTTTACTTTGACAATGCCACAAATAGGCCAGAGTCTTATCTTTCTCTCCAGCCATCTTTTCTTTTGTATGAAATGGATATATTTTAGAACTTTAATGCAGTTACACCATTATTTCATTCTAAAAATCAAATATGTTAGAACCTCATTTAAACTTGGCCTATTAATGTATGGTTTTTGATATACCACAGGCCATATTCAATACTTTGATATATAGCTATGTACACTAATTAAAGCCAGATATAATATGGCTGCTGCATATATGAGGTATTTATAATGTGTATTTGTGTAAAGCAGTTTTTGTAAATTGGTTTATACATCTGATCTACACACATGCTAAGTGGCACAAACTGTTACACAATTATTTTTATTTAGACTAAAGTTGCCTATATTTAGTTTTCACTTGGAAAGGTGATTGTCTATTTGGGTTTAATTCAAAGCAAATCTCTATATTAAACTTCACAGACTAGTCATAGTTCAGACCAGTATCACAATAATAATTTAAGTTAATTTGCATTAAAATATCTGACATTTTTGTTGACCATTTTTTAACATCAAAATGTTTGAAATTCAGGTTTAAATAACCTCCTTGATGAAAACCGAATTCAAGATTTATCTCTCCTGTATCAGCTCTTCAGTAGAGTTCGAGGTGGTGTTCAGGTTCTATTGCAACAGTGGATCGAATACATTAAGGTATTAACAATTAACCTGCCATTTAACCTGCTATTTTTTTTCTCTAATAGCTTATAGTCTATATACTCAGAGTACATATCAGCAAGCATTTCTTACTTGTTACATGCAATATTTTTTTAAGTAATGAGAGTTTTGAGGGCAACCAACCTGAGAATGATAGCTGTGTGGAAAATCAGCAATAAAACAGTTACCTTCTTGATGTCTGACATGATTTCTAGCTCCAATACTTATAGCAGTGAATGTGGAAAAAGAAGGAGGACGTTTTTGAGATCCAAAATTCCTTTCATTTCTTCAATCTTACACTGAAGCCAGATTGCCATTTAAAAAAAATTCAGAGCTGACTTCTTTAAAAGTAGGGAGAAGAGCGTAGAGACTTAACAATAATACCCCATTATGATATTGTATACCCAACAGTCATTTTTTATTTTATGATTATAGATGAATGGTATCCGTCTAGATGTTTTATCACTTTACTTTTTGTTTTTCTGACTTCAGAAACAGCTTTATTTGAATTTTTTGAGATTTTTTTTTTAAAGATTTATTTATTTATTTTCCCCCCAAAGCCCCAGTAGATAGTTATGTCATAGTTGCACAGCCTTCTAGTTGCCGTATGTGGGACGCGGCCTCAGCATGGCTGGAGAAGCGGTGCGTCGGTGCGCGCCCGGGCTCCCAACCCGGGCTCCAAACCCGGGCTGCCAGCATCAGCGAGCACGCACTTAACCACTAAGCCACGGGGCCGGCCCCTGAATTTTTTGAGATTTTAAAATAGATGTACCTACTTAAAATATGATTTGGGGATTGTTTTCATTGTAGATAATTCAGTTCTAGTAAAAAATGGTAATTTTTGTTTTTTAGGCATTTGGCAGCACTATTGTAATTAATCCTGAAAAAGATAAAACTATGGTTCAAGAATTGCTGGATTTTAAAGATAAGGTTGACCATATAATTGATATCTGTTTTCTGAAGAATGAAAAATTTATCAACGCCATGAAAGAAGCATTTGAAACCTTCATTAACAAAAGACCAAACAAACCTGCTGAACTTATAGGTATTTTTCCAGTCCTTTTTTCTGGTTATTTTATGTTCTTTTATTCAAAAAACTTCAGTTAACCTGAAGTTTTGACAGGGTTGTTTGTATATTAACACCTTATTTATTTGATGTTGCTTAGCTGATAGTTTCTAAGAACCTGGATATAAGGAAAAAGTCCTTCAAGCTAAGAACATCTCAAAGCCCACATGTCAAGAATGATATTTTCTTTGTAAGACAGTACATTGGACCCTATTTACTTTTATTTATAATAAGCTTGTTATCTGTTTTCCAAGCCTACAGCAATTTAGAGGCGGGGCAGGGGGCTATTTCCAGAGGCCCACACTTAGGGCTACAAGACATGATAGCTCGAAATTACAGTTGCCAGTGAAAAAGGAAAAACGTCCAGGACGAAAATAAACTTAATAATCTGGGCCCATTTGGTGTAAGGGTATGGTATACTGCAGTGCATCTCAGGTTTTCTCACCTAAGTACCCCTTAATGTCAGAGGAGGAAGTACCCTGAGAAGGTCTAGGGTCCTCTGCCAAAAGGATGAAATTTCGTTGGTTTATTACTTATCCTTAAAATTTTTGCAGTATTTTGCCTTCTACTCTATAACGTATCTGGTTTGTTTTAATACAAAAGTGTTTAAGGCTACTTACCGTCCGTGTAAAAGGGACACTCCAGAAGATGTGCCATGTCTTTCAATGGCTTTGATGATCCCAGCACAGGGCTATGTACACCACCCTCTCCTGGGTACCCATACTCCATTTTAATAAGCATCAGTATAGTGGAAAGTACATTAGATCTTATGCCAGAAGACTTGGGTTTGAGTTCAGGCTCTGTTATTAGCTCTGTTACATTGAATAAGTAACTTGATCTCCTTGACTTCGGAGACTTTAAAAAATGCATGTATACCTCTGAAGCATTGAAAAACTCAGTATATCATACTCCTGTTTGGGTGTGTATAGTGCCCAGTACCTCATGAATACCCACTATCACTAAACAACAAACATTTCCCCCATTTTAGCTAAGTATGTAGATTCGAAGCTCCGCGCAGGCAACAAAGAGGCAACAGATGAAGAACTTGAAAAAATGTTAGATAAAATTATGATCATATTTAGATTTATCTATGGTAAGTGTTTATTTTTGATTTAATATTTTTCTTTTAAAACAAAGCACTCAACAGAGAAACTAGCAAGTATAATCAACCTGGAGGGAGTATTTATTTGGGACTTAGAGATTTAAAATTCTATTATATTTCTTGCATTTAATTCATTGGAGTACTTGAGGAATGTTACTTAATTGCTTTGTGCTTTGACTTTTCCACTATTAAGAGCCTTGATTTTTGCTACTTGTTTTAATCTCTAGAGTATTGACGCTAAAGCTACCAGTCAACTAAAGCTTTTCTAAAGAAAAGTTAATGCAGTCTTAATTCTTTACAGCAAATAACTTTTGAAATGTCTGGTACAAAAATCTACCACTAATGTTTCTTGCATTTAACAAACTTGTATAAAATGTATAAGTTTAAATAACTTGGAGTAATGGTGTGATTTATTAGGCACTTTGAAGCAGTTCTGTCAGAACTTTTTATTGAAAAATTACGAGTTGTGTTTTATTTAACATAGGTAAGGATGTTTTTGAGGCCTTCTATAAGAAAGATTTAGCCAAGCGCCTGTTAGTTGGGAAGAGTGCATCTGTAGATGCTGAAAAATCAATGCTGTCCAAACTTAAACATGGTATGTTTGTCATTCTTTCTGTTCCTTTTCTTCTTTGATTTCTGAAGGAAAGAGTTAGCTTAATTTTTACTTTTTTCAGTTGATTGCCTCTTTCATCAATCATTGTTTGTTTGTATGATGAAAATGGAAATTAAGTAAGCTCAGGAGGTTTCCAATCTATTGTACATATCCAGAGCTGTTGCGTTTTTTTAAAAAATAAACCATTGTTCTTGTTTTAATTATTTGTATAAAAATTTCCCATTTATCTTATGCCTAAATAGTAGATAAGGTTACTACAGGATTAAAGAGTTTCACTCTGAATTAGTGGGGCATACACTTTGGGGTAAGGATTTCTTTATTCTTATGAATAGTTACAGATCATATTTCATGCTAAAGTAAGTTTTGCATTTCATGTTTTCAATTTTAAATTCTTTGTTTTTACCACTTTAAAATATTATGAATGTGTAAACATCTTTAATAGAATGTGGAGCTGCTTTCACCAGCAAACTTGAAGGAATGTTTAAAGACATGGAACTTTCTAAAGACATCATGATTCAGTTCAAACAGGTAAAAGTGAGTTAAACTCTTACTTAATTCCTCAAACTTAAATATATTTAGTTATCTCCTTGCTGTGGTTGTACTGAAGAGGATAAATAGAAACATGTATTTGATGTACATACTTCATAGCAACTTAGATGGTATTCACAGTAGAGAGAAAAATCCCCAATGAAATGTAAGTATATTTGACCTACTTCAGAATTTATTCTCAATATACACCCAAGATAACACAAAAATAGAAATAAAATGTATTGAACTGAAGTCAGGACAAGAAAAGCTGTAGCTAGATAGTGAGAACAGGGCTTTCTCCAGCATCTAATCACTGTTGGCGATTTGCATATTCAAAGCTGGCACTGGGGAGGGAGGGGAGGTGATAGAGTGGTTGTATAAGGCCTTTGAGGACATTGGGAGTGAAAAGCTAGAACCACAGCTTTGCAGATGTTGGTAGAAGGTGATTTTGAAATATTTAAGAGCATAGGTAATAGTGATAGCAAATTAGATTTTCCTCTCCTAGGGTTTTAGTAATGACTTCTTTATCGCTGTGTTGCTACAGTGGGAAATGAGAGTGGAAGACTCAAGAGAAAGATCAGAGTCAGTAGGATCATGGGTCCTATAGTAGCTACAGAATAGAGTTTTTCTGCTTTGCCCTTTCCCCTTCTTCTTCCTTCCCCACTTCAGGTCACCCCCTGCAAACAGGCAGTGGAGCAAGTGAAAAACCGGAGACTTGGGCTGGCTGGTGGGGTGAGGAATGGGGGTTGCTGCAAGGTGTTCCAATCCACATAGGGGTCTCCAAAGGTGGGGACTGTAGGTGGTGTGGGGGAAAGAATGGAGAAGAGATCCTATAATAGCCCAGCCATATGTGAGAAATTGTTTAAGTTGATAATGCCTCTAATGAGGTCACGTGATCCTTGTATGCCATTATACCAAAATGTTAACCAATGCACTTTTCTAGTGCATTTAATATAGGCTTCATTTATAGTCCTTTTAATGGTTGCCTTTTATTTTAAAGATGGTCAGTATTTGCATGTAATTTTATCATGGGGAACTTCTTTAATGGGTCATTATTATGACATGAAATGTATGCACTTTTACTTTTAAGATCTCAGTGTGTCTTTTGATCTTATTGTAGTATATGCAGAACCAGAATGTACCTGGGAATATTGAATTAACTGTGAATATCCTGACGATGGGTTATTGGCCAACATACGTGCCTATGGAAGTCCATTTACCACCAGAGGTAAGAGTTGCTGTTTAGGACTTCGAGTTATAAGCATAGAAATGCATGACACTTCTATTTTACTTGTCATCGAAAAACAGATAGTTTTTAAAAGTTTGTGTCAATAAGCACACCAGCACCATGCCAACTGTTTTAATATTTTACTCTTCTATTTATATTACTCTCGAATTTATATCATTAGAGCATAGCTAATGATGCCAAGTTTCTGGGTTCAGGGCCAATTTCCCTGACTCTTCTTTCAGTTCCCCAGATTGTACCCATCACTCTGCCCAGCTCTCAAAAATTCTTGCCCATGTGTCACCTGGGGGTTGGATTGCTGAGTGATGGGTGCTTGAGTAAATCCATCCTAACTCCTGGGGAAAAGTCTAACTCAGGACTGAAGCTTAGAAAACGGGTTAAGGGGGCCGGCCCGGTGGCATAGTGGTTAAGTTTGGACACTCTGCTTCAGCGGCTCAGGGTTTGCAGGTTCGGATCCTGGGCATGGACCTATGCACCGCTTATCAAAGCCATGCTATGGCGGCGTCCCATATAAAGTAGAGGAAGATGGGCACGGATGTTAGCCCATGGCCAATCTTCCTCAGCAAAAAAAAAAAAGGAGGATTGGCAATAGATGTTAGCTCAAGGCTAATCTTCCTCAAAAAAAAAAAAGAAAAGGGGTTAAGGCCTAGAGAGAGAGATATTGAGAATCCTCCATGGAGATGATCATGAAAGCCCAGGAAGTAGATCTCTCTCCTTAAGGAGAATGTAGGGGCTGGCCTGGTGGTGCAAGCCATTAAGTGCGCGCGCTCTGCTGCAGCGGCCTGGGGTTCGCTGGTTCGGATCCTGGGCACACACCGACGCACCTCTTGTCAAGCCATGCTGTGGCGGCGTCCCATATAAAGTGGAGAAAGATGGGCATGGATGTTAGCCCAGGGCCAGTCTTCCTCAGCAAAAAGAGGAGGATTGGCAGATGTTAGCTCAGGGCCAGTCTTCCTCACAAAAAAAAAAAAAGAAGAAGAAGAAGGAGAATGTAAAAATAGGAAGAAAGTGGCTGAGGCAGAACTTTGGAAAAGGCTCACATTTGGCACGTGGTAGCAAGAGGAGCCTGTGAAGGAAACCAGTGAAGAAGCACCAGTGAGAATAAGGAAGCAGCATGGTGCAGAGGCACAAAAGCCACTGGAGGTGAATGTTTCAGAAGGGAGAAGGATTAAATGTTGCAGAGAGATGAAAGAGTGTAAAGACTGGTAAATGCCATTAGATTTGGTAGTTGGGAGATCATTACCTTACATCAAAGTGGTCGGTGCACCTACTGGGTATAGTCTGAAAATTTCCGGAAATTATTACACATGAGGTGTAAAATAAACAAGATAAAGAGTAGTGAACGTGATATTGGATACAGAACTTAAATAAAACTTTATTTTATTTACTGTAGATGGTAAAACTTCAGGAAATTTTCAAGACATTTTACCTAGGCAAACATAGTGGCAGGAAACTTCAGTGGCAGTCGACTCTAGGACACTGTGTACTAAAGGCAGAATTTAAAGAGGTAAGTGGATATTCCCAAAACTTAGTTTTCACCTTCATCTTTGTTATTGAGGTCATCCTTCTTAACTTGAAGGTTTAGGCTACTTTATAAATTTATCTTAAATATCTGCGTAGCACAGTGATAACTTGTCACAGCTTTGTGTACATTATAAGAATGTGGTCTTTTCCACAGTTGATTGGTCCTGCTGCAAAACCAAAACCAGCAACCCTTTTCTCCTATCCTTTCCCCACCTGTGCATGCAGAATTCACACTGCTGCTTTTTGATAGGAAACTTCTTGTTGCTGGGAGCTAGAGAATAGAGTGAGCGTTAAGGGGAACAGTTCCCATACCTAATTTCAAAAATTTCCCGCAGCTTTTCATAACTAATCTGAATCAAACAAGTCAGAAACACATTTGAAATGGCGATTTCTTGCTGCTCGTGATAAATATCTGTAATGACACATAAGGCTGAGTTATTAATTTTCATTACTTTGTTGTTCTGTTTTAATTATAAGGCTGAAAAAAAAGACCTGTAGAAAGGTCACCCAGTCCTTCCTCTTATTTTAGGTAGGAGCACACCTAAATCCTACACTGAACATACTGGCTTTTCTGGATGTTAATCCATGTTTCTAAATCCACTAATTGAAAAATGCTTTTCCTGTAAGAGATTAGTTATTTGATTAATTTTTCATGTGTTTTAAAAAAAAATGATGGCTAAATACTGCTGTTTCTCCAACAGGGTAAAAAAGAACTCCAGGTCTCTCTCTTTCAAACACTGGTGCTGCTAATGTTTAATGAGGGAGAGGAGTTCAGTTTAGAAGAGATCAAGCAGGCTACCGGAATAGGTTGGTGTTGAATCAGTTGATTAGCAAGCATTATTCAGTGTCCACTACGTGCACTCCACTAGTTAAGAGCTCTGGGGGGATACAAAGGAATAATCCCTCTCCTCAACACACGTAATATAACCATGGGGAAAGGGGGAAATGACACTGGAAATAATTTCACAACCAATAAGTACCGATCTGTGGTGCTGACTAGGAGTGTGTTAGGAGTTCAGTGAAGCAAGAGATTACTGTGGACTGGCACAGTTGGGAAAGCCTTCATGAAGGAGGTGGGACTTGAGCTGGGCCTTCAAGTTTTAGTTAGGGAGAAGGCATATGCTGCAAAGGGAAATACTGTGAGAAAACGCTTGGAGATAGGAATGAGCACAGTGTGGGCAGGAGTCATGAAGAGTTTAACTGCAGCATAGAGTACAGTCGTGCGTCACTTAACAATGGGGATGCGTTCTGAGAAATGTGTCCTTAGGCAATTTTGTCATTGTGCGAATATCATAGAGTGTACTTACACAAGCCTAGATGGTATAGCCTACTACACACCCAGGCCATGTGGTACTAATCTTATGGGACCTCTGTCGTATATGCGCTCCATTGTTGACTGAAACATTGTTATGTGGCGCGGGACTGTCATGAGATACAAAGTTAGATAAAATGGGTAGAGCCTGATCATGGAGAGCCTTATGAATCTAGCAGATAAAACCTACATTGTAGGGTCTCAAGTGTGTAACATAATGGAAGTGACTTATTTGGACATCTCATCTGGAATCAATAGACAATATGGCAGCTTAGAGGATGAAGAGATTCCAGTCCAGAAGCTAGTGGGGTAATTCAGGCATAAAGTGATGAGGGGCTTAGACTAGAATGAGGCCAATGAGAATGGAGAAGAGACATCTCTAAGGAAGCAACTACTAGGTATGTGGAGGATGAAGGAGAAGGAAGAGTTAAAAGATGATTCCAAGGTTTCTCACCAGATTAGGTTGGTAGCTTCACAGGTAACAATGGGAAAGAGCACAGTTTTATGGGGAAGATGATGAATAAAATTTTGGACATAACCGGAGTTGGTGATAATAAAACAGCTAGGTGGAGGTGTCCTTTAAATGTGGGACTGGAAAGAAGTGAGATGTCATTTCTGAAGATTTCGTAGTTATCCACATAGAATGATAATTGAAGCCTTTAGAGGATGACCAGGAAAAAAGCCATTGTATAGGACAAAGAGGAAGTTGTTGATGACCTTGGGGGGAAAATGAAGCAATTTTAATAGAGGGATGGATGGAAGCTAGATTGAGGTTGAATGTAGCTGTTCATGTTGATCTAGTAACAAATAACTAAGCGAGCGTTTCTTCTTCAGAGGATGGAGAATTACGGAGAACACTGCAGTCGTTGGCCTGTGGCAAAGCTAGAGTTCTGGCGAAAAATCCAAAGGGCAAAGATATCGAAGATGGTGACAAATTCATTTGTAATGATGATTTCAAACACAAACTTTTCAGGATAAAGATCAATCAAATTCAGATGAAAGAAACGGTATTTCTTTTGCATTCTCCTCATCCTAATGCACTGGAATTATGTGTGTTCATAATAGAAAATTTTATGTTTATAATACTAACATTAACATTTTTTGTACCCATATGTAGCTGAGTATATTTCATTATTTGATTTTTAAGTTTTTTTGGAGGGAGGTACACACAGTTGGACCTGATACTCAACATAGTTTTATATCCTGCTTTTTCTCTTTAACATTAAATCTTTAGAATTTTTCCGTGGCATTAAATTTTTTCATAAAATGACAGGTGGCCACACAATATTCTTTTTCATGACTATTATAATTTATTCAACCAACATCCACCATTGGGCAATTAAATTCATAACTTTTTAGTATTGTAAATAAAACTGCAAGAAACATCTTTGTACCTAAATCTTAATCTCTTTGAGCTTTCCTTTATGATGTTTTCATGGAAGTAGATTTTTTGGGTAAAAGAATGGGAACATTTTAAGAGTCTTAATATGTAATGCCATATTGTCTTCCAGAAAGGCTAGACCGATTTACACTGTCTAGCAGCATGAGTGCCTCTCTTAATGGTGCCCTCGCTAGCGCTAAAGATGATATATTTTTTAAATCTTTGCCAACTTGCTTGGTGAAAAATCTGAATAATTTAGTATTTCTTTGATTAAAAGTGAATATTTTGTTTGTTTTTGCCATTTGAATTTGTAAGAGACTTTTACTAAGAAAACCATCAACTGCAGCATTTGAAACCAGTTGGTTTCCATTCAGTAAGGTTTAATGCAGTACTTGAGGAAATGTTTTAATGTGGGGCAGAGGTCAGTATCTCAAACAAGTTCCTGTCTTATTCACATTCACATCAAAGATGTGATAATCCCTTAGAAGATTATTGTGTCCTTTTAAAACATTCATGCTGTATCAGAAACTGACTACAGAAAGCCCAAACTGTAGTTTTAATTAGGTGCTAAAGATGAACATCTTTTCTTTAGCATTAAAATTGTTAAACTGACTCCTAAACACCTAAATTGCTGTTAGTCTTGAATGAATATAAGCACTACCTGTGCGTTTCTGATTTGCATATTATAAAATAAAAATTAATTTTTAAAAAATGTTTGACTCTACTTAGCTTAGCTAGTTATCAGTACCATGCTTTGAGTCACAGGTCAGAGTCAGTCACTGTCACAGATAAGCTAATGTCATACGGAAATCTTGTCAGTCACCCCTTGTGACACATTTAGAAGATTTTGAGGACAGAGTAAAAGAAAATGATAAATTCTGCATTAGCCATCTCTACTTCTAGAAAAGCAACTGAAAGATGGTATTTTTCTCTTAACTAATATTGGCATTACTTCATTGGTGCAGGGCAATATAATTAGGACAGAAAGGAGTTATGTGTGTAGGGTTTTTTCTGTCATTGTCGGTATTTATAAGATTCCTTTGGATAATTCAGTATATTAAAGCATTAACAGTGTGTCATATACACAAAATGTACAGTTTGTGTAAGTAATCAAGTTTCACTTCAGGTACAATTCCTAAGTTTAAAACTTTTTTGTTAGGTTGAGGAACAAGCAAGCACTACAGAAAGAGTATTTCAAGACAGACAGTATCAAATTGATGCTGCAATTGTTCGAATTATGAAGATGAGAAAGACACTTAGCCACAATCTCCTTGTTTCAGAAGTGTACAACCAGTTGAAATTTCCAGTAAAGGTGGGTACTTCTGTATTTTCATATTGAGCTTGTTACATATAAAAGAGAATATGTTAGATTTGCAGATACGAATCTTACAAACATAGATTAAAGCCTCAAGATCATTTGGAGGGACAAAAGTTTTAATTTCTCATGCTCATATATATGATTCAAAAAAAAACCTTTGTTGGCATGTGTGGGCAGCTGTGACAAAAGGGGAAAACAATTTATAAAAGCCCTTATACTTGAAAGTTTAGCTGCTGAATGAGTCTTTGAAATTTTCAAGATCGTTTACTATATTTCTTTTGAGCTTTTTTTTTTCCTCCTTGAAATACATTGGTATTTGACAGATTTGGTTATTTTAAATGAAGTTAAATCACCTGTTTAGTTAGCTTATATAAGTGTCCATTAAAAACTATACAGATAACTAACCATCATTAGGGATCTTTTTGAAAAGTTTAGCGATAGTTCTGGCAAACTAAAATTGATCATTAAATGGACACATTCCAATGTAAATGCCCAATAATAAAGAGGCTTAGACAGTGTGGTGTTGTACTGGACTGTTGAACAAGGTTTAGAAGATTCCCAAATCCTTATGATGATAAACTATTAAATGAGTTTGGATAGACTCTTGGCTGTTAGGGTTCTCATGAGCTTTGGGCTTAGGCAAATCACTTCACCTTGTTGAGCTTGTTTCCTTGTTTGTAAAATGGGCTTCATAATAGTACTTACCTCATAAGATTATTGTAAGGCTTAAATGAGATAATGTAGGTGAAAAATTTAACACTGGGCCTGGCACATAGTAAGTGCTCACTAGCTGTTAATTCTGATAAAGTCGTCTTTCTTTCCTCTCCAAACATGATACTGCCTTGTCATTACCACACTCTTAACCCTCATGCTCTGCCTAGTAACCATTTCACTTCCAGCCAGAGAGATCACCGAGGCTAAGCAAGTTAGAGGATAACTATAATAAATATTGTGCTGATATTCTAGGTCTCTCACCATAATTAAGAGAAAGTCATTTTGATTTTCAGACCTTGGAATTACTGGGTAAAATTACTGGCTGAAATTTTGGCTGCCCTATCAGACTATTTTCCCTCTACCCCTCTTGATTGAGTGGCTATTTTACGTAATCTGGAAAACTGTCTATTAGCAAGCAAGATTATAGTCTTTTTATAGGCTAAATACAAAAGACAGTGGAATTTTGTCATCTAAGAGCTAAGAATGCAATCATGAGGACAAGCTATAACCTTTCTCGATGATTTTTAAACCACAAGTAGGATTTAGAAATCCAAATCGTTTATAGTACGTAACAGTTAATTCTTACGTTAAAGCTGAAATACTAAGATCTGAATTATGAGATGATACTTCACTTATCAAACCATTTGTTGTAGTATTCTTGTAAATAGTGATTTCACTAGTAAATTTTTTATTTAATTTATAAAAATGTAACCTAACTTTGAAAACTATCTTTAGCCCATAGTAAAGGTCTACTTATCTTCTCAAACTGTTTTGGCAAAACTAAATAGCATTCTGTTTCCCTAAATTATAATGTGTTCCTCATGTGAAATTAGGATAAGTTAGTCTTTTGTATTTAGCTGTGCAGAGAATAGCTGGTTCTTAGAAGACCTTTTTTTTTTTTGAGGAAGATTGGCCCTGAGCTAACATTTGTTGCCAGTCTTCCTCCTTTTTTCCTTCTCCCCAAAGCCCCAGTAGGTACTTATATGTCATAGTTGTACACCCTTCTAGTTGCTCTATGTGGGACACCACCTCAGGATGGCTTGATGAGCAGTGCGTAGGTCTGAGTGCAGGATCAGAACCGGCGAACCCTGGGCCGCAAAGCAGAGCGTGTGAACTTAACTGCTACACCACTGGGCCAGCACCCCTAGAAGACCTTTTTAAAATAGAAAAATAATAGAAAGTATCGTATAGCAATATGGCAAGGTGTGACAGTATATGTGTAATATAAAAACATTTCTTAACCTGGTTTATTTTCATTACTTTTATCTTTAAAAATTTAAGAAGATTTAAAAAAATAAAAATTAAAAAAATTAAGGAGAACACATTAAATCAGTGAGCCAAAACTGTTCTTTTTTTTTTGATGGGGTGTTGGTAAATGGGCTTGAGCCAATGGTTATGAGCTTTGAACAGAAAATTTGCCTTCTCTTACAGCCTGCTGACCTTAAGAAGAGAATAGAATCGTTAATTGACCGGGACTACATGGAAAGAGATAAAGAAAATCCCAACCAGTACAACTACATTGCGTAAAATGTTGGCCTTGGAGCATTGATGTAATAAGCAGTAGCCAGTGGATAAACTAACCTGTTGATCCTCTATTGTCTGACTTCTTTTATACTACCGATGACCAAATGAAGCAGTGTAATGGAAATAGTTGAGTGGACTTTTCCAGTGGTTAACATGCCCATTTAAAGAGTAATACTTACCTTTAAGAAGAATGTTGTTGAACTCTTTGCATGTTATTTAGTATGATGTGCAGAAAACTCTTAAGAAAGTACCTGGTCTTCATGATTCCTCTTTGGAACTGGGGAAGAGGTCCCTATGGCTATTAAAAAAGGAGGGGGGATTCTTATACACCATTAATTATGAAGCAAAAGGTTTATTTGCTTAAAATGTCATTTAAAGATACTTAAACTGCATGCAAACTTTATTTACTGTACAGAGTTCTGGATGTATTTATCAAATAGAAAAACCACCCTGGACTTGGTTGTTCACTTGTTTTGTGATTTCCCTTGAAAAGAAAAATAAGTTGTGATAGCTATTGATATTTTACTAAGTAATGTTCTGTTACACTGAAAGGGATCTTTTAAAAAAACTTATTTGGAAACAAGTTTTCAAGTAGAGGGACAGTTGCTTACATAATCTCTTATATATACACATCCTAAAATTTTCCATTTATGACTCTGGGATGTGTATATGGCTTAGCCCTGAGTTTACCGTGCTGATTAACAGGTACTTATAAAAATAGCTGAAATAGAAAATTGCTGATCAGTTGTACTAGAAGAACATGGTAGGAGAGAAAAATCCAACTTCCTTCATATTAAAAATGAATACAATACGAACATCGCAAAAGAGACCAAAACCGACGTTTTGTAAATTTTTACAGGAACAAAAGTTCATCAATTAGTTTTCAACTTCCTTTAATGTTGTTTGCACAGTTTTGTCTTTAACTTGGACCAATTGTAGATTGTTACAGGCGTCCTAGGATTTAGCATTCCTATTTTCTCTACCAAAGTTTATTTTGGAAGCACCCCAACTCTTTTGTTGGTGAATGAGCCTTTCCTGTTCAGATGTAAAAGTCCTTCCTGGTTTTCCCCACACACCCCCTAGCTGGGAATTTTGAATTCTGTTTCATGCTGATCTCATTCCTTTCAAAATTGCTTAAAGACAAGAGTTCTCATAGCCACTGGACACCTGCTTTTTAGGGGAGTGTCCTAGAATTGTTCATACATAGAAAATAGCAAAAGTTTTTTTCTTCAAATTAATAATGTGAGTAAAAGGATTCTCTTTACCATCACTGGTTTTTTAGTTTTGTGTGGCTTTTTGTTTTTTGAGGTTTTTTTTGCTTCCTTGTTTGTTTTTCTTTGAAGCTCTGAAGGGAATTGATCTAGGAGGAGAAGCAGAAAATTTTGTTTTGATTTTGTTAAAAATAAGAACAGCTTTAAGGTTTATTTTTTTCCCCAAAGCCCCAGTAGATAGTTGTATGTCACAGTTGCACATCCTTCTAGTTGCTGTATGTGGGATGCGGCCTCAGCATGGCCGGAGAAGCAGTGCGTCGGTGCGCGCCGGGGATCTGAACCTGGGCCGCCAGCAGCAGAGTGCGCGCACCTAACCGCCAAGCCATGGGGCCAGCAGAACAGCTTTAATACTTTTTGCAACAGTATATTTCTTTGACTATTTGGAGCCATTAGAAAGAATACCTAGATCCTAACCATCAGCTGAGGAGACATTGGCTCTTGTGTCTGCTGTCAGTTGTTTTCTTGAATTCTCAAAGACCTGTGACCAGTTATTAAAACAAGTTGCCTGTTTCTCTCTTAATTGCATCAACTTGCACACTGTTGTTTAACAATATGTGGTATTTAGAATGCCTTCCTAATTCTTTTTGAGCAGCCGTTGCCTATATTTTCTCAACTCCTCCCTGGTTTCCTTACATGAGCTCATCTGACAAGAAAATGCAGCTATCGTTTGCTGTCTCTCTGTACTGGACCATTGACTTCAATGTTCTAACTCATCCCTGATGGTCTCTGAGATACGTAGACTGTTCTATAAGGCTTGATAGTTACACTCAAGGAATTTTTAGGTAGAATTGGTCCTGTTATGAGGAGACTCTTGGTGTTACCTTTGTTATCTTGAAAGCTGGTCCCTTCCCTGAGGCTGTTAATTTTTTGAAAACTTGATGCTGTTTCAGCTGAAGAATTGGCAAGACTATTAAAAGAAGTTGAGGGGAGCTGTTTAAGAAATTGACAAGTCATTGCAAACAACATTGGATAATTGTGATTTTTAGTTCGTGTTCTGTATCAGTTGAATTTTTGTGCTCTTTTCCCTGTGTACGTGGTGGTTCTATTTTTCTCCAATAAAACTTTTATTTAAAAAAAGTTTGTGGAGAAGATCTTTAAAATTCAAATATTTTAAGAAAGTTAAACCATAGAACTTAAAATCTTCCTAATTTCTTTTAATGAATTCACATTTGTCAGTTTTGATATTTTTTAAATTTCTCTTTTTATTTTTGTGGTGGTGTGGTGATAATGCTATAGGAATGTGGAGGAGGGTATGGTAAAGGATGAGTAAAATTCCCAGGAATCCTCAAGGTGGGTATTTATTCTTAAATGTCATATTTTAGAAAAATCAAGTACAAGTATAAACATTGTTTCATTCAAATCCTCAAAGTCAAATAGTTTCATAAAGTCACTATGAAACTAGTCCAGATTTAAGTTGAGGGGAGAATGAAAGATTAAATATACTCTTGTTTTAGTCATGGCACTTGATCTGCCTTTTCTGTTAATATGAATTCTGGGCCATATACTCTAACAGTAAGATGCTCCTCAAGAACCTTACCAAACCAGAGATCAAGAAGATTTTTTGAACCCAGTTCCAGAGTCTGTTGAACTGTCTTAACATGATGTTTAGCCATACTCTTGAAATTCTTATCTTATACATATGTGTACAGTTCAGGAAATCAGTTTATTCTGTTAGACATCTGTGTCTCAAGATTTTCAGAAGTTGGTTTTTTAATCTTAGTATCCATAAATCTTTTTTATATTAGCTGTTTTTTGTTTGTTTTAATGACCATTCTGTTTAATGCTGTGAATGACAGGAGTGTTATAAACATGTTCTGTTCTCTCATCTACATAAAATTGCCAAACCAAATTGTTCATTAAAAAGAAAAGAGCAGTACTAGTAGGAATTTGCATAATTATGCTTTATATGGTATCCTTGCTAATGCTTCATTAATCAAGAATTTTCAGTTTCCAACAAAAAATTTGCTTTACATTTGAATAGTGAAGAGATTTGTTCACCTGAAAACACTTGGTTCAAATTTAACACTTTGTTCAATTTTTTTCCTTTTTCCTTGCTATTAAAGAGTATTTCTTTTTTTGAACAGGCACATAATATACTTCTATAATTAATCATCCTTAGAATTTATGTCTAGCATAGTAAAAAAAAAATCTAACCTTTCTTTTGTAGAACCTTTTATGTTTGATGTAGAATATAAGAATGTGCTGCAGAGACACATGGGAACTTAATAGTTTTGCAAGCTATAAAAACAGATCTTCCTCATATCCTCAAATTCTTATAATAAAGTCTTTAATTATAAGACTTTAATTATAATTAATTATAATTTTAATTATAAGACTACTTCTTTAATTAAAAATTTTTATTGTAAAATACACATAACATAAAATTTATCATTTTAACCATTTTAAAGTGTACAATTGAGTGACATTTAGTACATTTACTGTTTTGTGCAACCATCACCATTCTTTAGTTCCAGAACATTTTCATCATCCCAAAAGGAAACCCTGTACTCATTAAGCAGTCACGCCCCATTCCCCTCCACGCAGCCCCTGGAAAACACTAATCTGCTGTCTCTCTCTGGATTTGGCTAGTCTGGATATTTCATATCAGTGGAATCATATAATATGTGACCTTTTATGTCTGGTTTCTTTTGCTTAGCATGATGTTTTCAAGTTTCATCCATGATATAGCATGTATCAGCACTTAATTCCATTTTATGGCTGAATAATAGTACATATATACCACATTTTGTTTATTCATTCATCAGTTGATGGATATTTGGGTTGTTTCCTCCTTTTGGCAGTTGGTAATGGTGCTGCTATGAAGATTTGTGTACACATAGCTGTTTGAGTTCCTGTTTTCAAATCTTTGGAGTATATACTCAGGAGTGGAATTGCTGGGTTATATGGTAATTCTATGCTTAACTTATTGAGGAACCGCCAAACTTATTCCATAGCAGCTGCGTGATTTTACATTCTCGCCAGCAGTGTACCTGGGTTCCAATTTCTCCACACCCTCATCAATACTTGTTTTCTGTTTTATTTAATAGCCATCCTAGTGGGTGTGAAGTGGTGGTTTTTGAATTGCATTTCCTTAATGACTAATGATGATGAGCATCTTTTCATGAGCTTGTTGGCCATTTGAATATTTTTTTTGGATAAACATCTGTTCAAGTCCTTTGGCCATTTTTTAAATGGATTGTCTTTTTGTTGTTGAGTTGCAAGAGTTCTTTATGTATTAGAGATACTAGACCCGTATCAGATATAATGGTTTGCTAGTATTTTCTCCTATTCTGTGGGTTGTCTTTTCACTCGCTTGATAGTGTCTTTTGATGCATGAAAGTTTTTAATTTTAATGAAGTCCAATTAATCTATTTTTTCTTTTGTTGCTTTTGCTTTTGGTGTCACAGCAAAGAAACCACTGCCAAATCCAAGCTAATGATGATCTACTCCTATGTTTTTTTGTAAGAGTTTTATCATTTTATTCCTTACATTTAGATCTTTGATCTCATTTGGGTTAAATTTTGTACATGATATCAGGTAAAGGTCCAACTTCATTCTTTTGTATGTGGCTATCCAATTGTCCCAGCACCATTTGTTGAAGAGTCTGCTTTTCCCCATTGAATAGTGTTGTCACCCTTGTTGAAAATCAATCAACCTTAGCTCTATGGATTTATTTCTGGACTCTCAATTCTGTTCCATTGATCTATATATCAATTATATCAGTACTACACTGTTTTGATTACTATAGCTTTTTAGTAAGTTTTGAAATTGAGAAGTGTGAATCCTCCACTTCTTTTTTAAGACTGTTTTAGCTATTCAGGTCCCTTGCTATTCTGTATGAATTTTAGGATCAGCTTTTCTATTTCCGCCAAAAAGGCCACAAAATTGAGATTTTGATAGGGATTGCGTTAAATATATAGGTCACTTTAGGACTATTACCATCTTAACAATATTAAGTCTTCTAGTCCATGAACACATGATGTCTTTCCTTTTTTAAAAAAACATTTGTTTTAGGTCTCTTATAAATTTCTTTCAGTAATACAGTCATGCATCGCTTAACGATGGAGATACGTTCTGAGAAATGCATTGTTAGGCGGTTTCTTTGATGTGCAAACACCGTAGAGTACACTTACATAAGCCTAGATATAGCCTAATATACACGTGGGTACTAATGGTACTAATCTTATGGGACCACCACTGAAAGTATATATGGTCCATAGTTGACTGAAACGTCATTATTCGGCGCATGACTGTATTTTGTACTTTTCACTGTACAAGACTTGCATCTCCCTGGTTAAATATATTCCTATGTATTTTTGTTCTTTTTGATGCTGTTGTAAATGGAATTTTCTTAATTTACTTTTCAGATTGTTCATTGCAAGTGTATACAATTTTTGAGTGTTGATCTTGTACCCTGCAACTTTGTTGAATTTGTTTATTAGCTTTAATATATTTTTGTAGATTTTTAAGGATTTTCTATATATAACACCTTTGTTGTCTACAAATATAGTTTTACTTTTTCCTTTCCAATTTGAGTGTGTTTTATTTCTTTTTCTTGCCTAATTTCTCTGGCTGGAGCTCCCAATATAATGTTGAGTATAAGTGGCTAAAGTGGACATCCTTGTCTTGTTCCTCATCTTAGGGGGAAAGCTTTCGGTCTTTAACCATTGAGTACGTTGGCTGTGGGTGTTTCATAAATAGCCTTTATCATGTTGAAGAAGTTCCCTTCTGTTTGTAGTTTCCTGAGTGTTTCTGTCATTTAAAAATGTTGAATTTTGTCAACTGCTTTTTCTAAGTCAATTGAGATAATGGTGGGTTTTTTCCTTCATAAATTGGTGTAGTCCATTGATTGGTTTTCATGTGTTGAACCATTGTTGCATTCCTGCCATAAACCCCACTTGATCATGATGTATAATCCTTTTGATGTGCTTTTGGATTTGGTTTGCTAGTATTTTGTTGAGGATTTTTGCA